GTCCCCATCACATATGCTGTCACGAACACATTCTGAATCTTGCCACTCGTCATTTCATTGACACAGTCGCACCTACCCCTCAGGCAACCATACTGAAAAAGATCCATTGTGCTATTGATTCTGGTACAGATGTTGACATTGACGGATTGACTGCCCAACTCGCTGCATTAGAACATGATCCTGAAGCTATTGTCGAGGATGGCTATGATGTTAGTAACACCATTGGAAAAGCATTGGATCTCATAGACCAGGTAAAGTCCTCTTTTTTCTTTGTCTTCGAGCCCTTATTTACATAGCATAGATCTGCAAATCACTGCAAGCTCGAGCGTTCTTCAAGAAATCATGTGAGGAAGACGGTGTTCCTGTTCGCGAGATTTTGTCATGGGTGAGAACACGCTGGGCATCCTTATTCAAGTGCCTCGAGCACTTCTTGTCTCTTTGCCTGGTAAGTGAGGCATGCAATCCCCTCTTTAGTATCTAATATCTTTATTTTTTTTCAGGCTGTCAACCATTTCACACTTCTCACTAATGAAAGTCACGAAGTCCCAAAGTTGCGCAAGAAGTCATATAGCGACTTCAAGCTTGATGGGGCTGACTGGAAAATGATACGGCTAGTACATGATGTCCTCAAGGTAGTCATTTATTTTATCTGTCTTGTTTATTTATTTACTGATTGTTATTAGGAGCCTGAAACTGCACAACAGTCCTTTTCTTTGGTCGCGTGCCCAACAGCCTGGCAGACCATACCGACATTAGAGTGTCTTGCTAATACATGGCAGACTATGGCAGGAAATCCAGAATATGCGTCAATCAAGGCCGCCATCAAGAAGGGTCTTAATAATGTCGAGAAGTACTACCAGAAGGCTAATGACTTGGACGTTTACTTTATCTGTCTAGGTCCGTATTATTATCTTTTCCTCAAGTCTATGTCTAATTTTGCTACAGTTCTCGACCCCAACTATAAGTTAGCATATGTTGAGAGCCGATGGACCGAGGCAAAGGTTGCGAGTGGGAGGGCTCGTCTTCAAGCTGTGGTAAGTACTATTCGACCTTGAGTATCCTGCCCATCTCTAATATTGGGTACTTAGTTTGATTACTACTACAAAGCGCCTCCACTGGCAGGCCCAGCGCATGTCCCAGAACCAACAGCCACATCAACAATGACAATTTGGTACAGTCAATTGTGGATGCGCAACACTATCATGGCGCAGCAAGCTGCAGATCAACGTGCGCACAACCCTCATCAAGAACTCACCTCGTATCTCACCACACCATTGGAGGAGATGGATGATGTTGTGGCATGGTGGGGTGTGAGTACTAGGTCCTACCTATCAGTTCCCAGCTTACATTCTTGATTAGTTACATTCCCTGCTGTATCCAACCCTCGCTCGTGTTGTGCATGATTACCTGCCCATTCAAGGCAGCGCTGTTCCATCTGAACGTGCTTTCTCCAGTGGGGGGATTACATCCACTCTCTGCCGCAATGCACTTGCGCCATCCACATTCTCCGCCCTACAGTTGATGAAGGCAGCTTACCGGAATGGACATATCTCAGCGGCAGTAGAGGCAGAGGGGCATGCGGCTGGTGTGTAGTTGGACTAGCCACTCAATATTATATCTATGTACCATATCAATGTTTTTCTTGCGCTTGAAAAAATTTACGGTTCAGTTCAGGTTCGGACCAGAAAAAAACCGAACCAGACTGCAAAGAACGGTTCTTGATGGTCCAGTTCTGGGTTCGATGATTTTGTAGAACTGGACCCATGGTTCGGTTCTTGGTTCTTGTCCAGGACCCTCTGAACCGGACCGAACCAGACCACGGCAGCACTAGTCCTGAGAGATGCGAGTATGCTTCGTCCCAAGAGACAACCTAAAGAACTACCTTGATAATGCAAGGGAAGTCTTATACAGTCAGAGAGTAGACAAGATATTGGAAGTAAACCTCTCTAATGTCTGTCCAGAGTTCCGAGACTACGTCTGAAGTACCAAGGTACTTGTCCGATGCGACCGAAAGTCGTCCGAAGCTGCAAAAGTGTTGTCCGAAGTAGCATGATGCCTTCCGAGGTTTGCAAAAGCTGTCCGAAGGTCAATATATGTCGGTATGTCGATGTGTTGAATAACAGTATAAGACTTTGCGAAACGTCCGAAGTCCAGAATGACGCTAATCTATCAGAACTCAAGAATAAATGAAGTGCAAAATTGGCAGCGGTCTAGCCAAACAATCGTTCCAAATGAACAAAGATCGATTGCGCAGTTACAATTATACCGAGGTGACTCTACTAATTAAGACTCAAAGTACGGGAAGTGAAGTGTTGTATCAGTAGCCAGTGAGCAAGATTATATCCTACTTCCATGAGAGACCAGAATCCATAGGTGAAACTAGTAGCGAGATAAGCAAGTCTGAACCTATGTAATAAGTCGTGGTGCGTACTGTTTATACGTATTCCGAGGCTCCCGACAGGATGCTGGTGGAATCTATCCATGTAGCACTAAGACGTAGTCAACATATAATTAGAATAAGGGAAAATGCACCAGTGAAGTCAAAAGGGCGATGTTACAAGAACAACTAGATGCTTGGGCCCCTACCATTTTTCTCCTGATCCTCCTCGTATCAGCCCTCGCATCATACCCTTACCCCGACCTTACCCTTGTCATCCTCGTCATCCTCGCATTCCCTTTCGCCCTCTACCTGTCGCTTCAGCAAAGCCAGTACATTTGGCCGGATCCTTTCGCTGACGAAGCATACCCATGCTCCGTTTTACCACCTGACTGATCCTGCGGACAGTCCCCTTGCCCCTTACCGTCTGGACGGTAACCTATGACACGATGTATGACGCATCCCCGTTGCCCTATTTTCCTTTCCTGATCTCTGACTCAGTGCGCAGTCGCACATGCGACTTATACTTAGATCCGCAGTTGCACGATCGTGCCCCTGCATGTTTCACTTCTCATTCTGATCTTTGACTCACTTTCTTATCCAGCACGTTCTACCTAGATCGAACGTGCCTTCCTATTATGGTCTCACCCTTTACCAATTGCCTCTCCCAGTAGTACGAGTTATCATCCACTAATACGTCCCCTGTCCTCTATATAAACTCGCTACCATGTACCATATTTCCTAACTTGAATCTACTTGGTTCTTGACCTCCTACTCTCACCAGAGTGATCCTTCTGCCTCGCCAGCAGTCTATATTCTATCTTCTTATCTGCTCATCGCGGATAAGCCTATAGTCTCGACCTTTACTCATCGACTTCGTCGACGAGCAAAGCCCCTGTTAACTAGTTGGACTTCTGTCCTTCTAATTAACGACGATCCTTACGATTAACCTTCGGGTGTCGTAAGCCTAGGCCGATATAGCTTATTGTCTCGCACCAGCGTGACATAAGCTACCCGATTTGGACATAGGCGTCAAATCGTACTTGCCGAAGACCCGCCAAGTACGACCCCTAACCTTGGGCTAGCCCAAGGACGTCCACAGACCATTGACGACACAAGCTCTGTTTGAGCGTCGCCAACAGATACCATCCAAGTCGTAACAGGCGAGGATAGGACATGGTATGGTAACTCACGAGGTTCGGACAGGCCTTGGAACGCAAGAACTGCCTGCGGAAGGTTCAGACAAGTGTGCGCAACCTTTGGAAGGTCAAGGGAGGTTGGGGAATGGTATGGACGTAGGTGTTGGATTGCCTGGTTCCGAGCCCAGCGCTGCGACCATCGTTACACCGCTTATATGATCAAACACGTGACATCCTGCTGAGGGGGAGGCAAGGATGTATGAGCCTTAGAAATACCTCAAAAACTCCTGCTACTGGCATTAAAATGGGGAATAAGTCCAAAGCTGTCCAGGCACATCTCACAAGTCTCTACAGATCAAACAGTAAGTCATTCAACTCACAAACTCTTTAACACTGACATTTTATGTAATATAGTTAGTCATAGTCATAGTTATGCCAATATTTTGATCAGCCCATTTCATTGTATATTTGGTGGTGCCTCCTGAAAAAGCTCATAACAACTTAGGCATAGATACATGATGTGTATAGATAATAAAAATTTTCAAGCAATTTCTAAGGCCTCTGGTCTCCAAAACAGCAGTCCTCAAGAGTGGTGAAAATTTTTCACCAGAGATTTGGCCACAACTTAGGGTTAGGGTTAGTGCTTACATGAGGTGCTGGAACTGGATGAGGCCTACCTTATCTCCTGCGCTTTGTTCATAAAGAACAGGTACACAATTTCATGATTTTCTCTATGGCATTCAATTTTAAATCAATTCCTTAACTACTTCACTGAGTAGTTGAATATTCTACATACTCTACTAGCATATTCCAAGTGAAAAATGTTGTAAGGTTATATAGACAAGTGATAATATTGCAACTGTTGGGCCGCATCAGTAATTTCACCAATTACTTATTTAGCCTTATTTTACTTATCACCCTTGATTTTCCCACCAGTAGTAGCTGTAGAAATGATGTATTGGTCCTTGTAACACAGTAAAAAATCAGGTACAATAATCATTGAGCTCATTCACAATGACATCAGGAAAAACCTCCCACAAAGATTTCGTTAAATTTTCTAAAATTTTCTGAATTCCTTAAAATATGTTCAAATATTCCAAGTCCCTCTGTGGATAGGTGAAAATTTATGAAAATTTATGAAAATCCACAAGAATACAACAAAATGATCATAATGTGATTAAAGCAGGGTATATACTAGAATATTGCAAATGAAAATGAGGAAATGGAACAAAGTTGTAACATGAAGTCCTTGTACTATCAGGAACACCCTAGTTGATGCTTGTCCTATCAAAATCAATTCATGCAAATGCCACTTTTGACTCAGCGGATGCAAAATCAACCACATTAATGCCGAAAATCAAAGTTATGAGCAGCATGTAATAAAGGCGCGAGACTAGCACATATCTAACGGCTTTATATTTTTGAGCCATGAGAGAATGGTAAACATGGGGGCTGATGAGACTTTGCCTGAAGTCAAAACACTCTTAAACTACATCAACAACTGACTTTAGATCAAGTAGGGAAGAAAAAATCTGGTAGAAAACAGTGAGATAGTGCTTGAATAGTTAGGATAAGATGCACCACAGTAACCACAGCAACCTTGATAGGCTCCACAGGTTCACCAGTGGTGCTTGCACCCCAATTTGTCTGCACACCATATAGGTTGTGGTGGATGCTGTAGAAAGAGCACATAAAAATGACAACTGCAAGAACTCCAGTGATTGGGAGGAGAGAGCAGAGAAGCCCATACATGATAGCACTGACAGAAGCTGGCCATGAGGTTCAAGAGTCCAAGCCAACGTGGCATAATCAACAATGAGTGTCCATGTGAGTGCAGGATAAGGGGGTGCCAACAAGTTCAGGTAGTTGAGTGTAATGGTGTTTGGTGGTAGCTGATCCATAATGCCATTTCCGTTGACATTGCATAGAAATAGTCATCATACCCAAACACATTGAGTTGCAAGTACATTTAGCATGCAACCATGATTTTGAACTCACAAATGCCATCACTGTAAAATATAGTTGTAAGAACAAGACCAATGAAATGAGTGAGAAGCAAGAGCAAATTAAAAGAGGGAAATTTTGATGGAAGACAACATAACAAGTGGTTCAAATTGAAGAAGGTTCATGTTCCACCCGCAAGTTACTGAATAGCCCAACTTAGTGCGGGACTGTGGGTTATATTTTTGATATATAAGAAAACATTATATTAGCCTTTTCCTTCTCATATCTTGATTCATAAATATTTGGCCTATGTTGAGTGGTTTGTGCCATTCACCAGGACAAGCTAGAGAAATCATGGTATGCACAAGGTCTTGCAATCATATGAAAATGGGGAACAGCTAGCTAGTTAGTATAATATCTGCGAAAGATATTTGGCGCAGTGTACATCTTATACCAAAATTTGGCTGTACTGCACCTTGGGATTGGACTAGCAGCAACATTTTGGAACTGTGTAGAGACTTTTTTTGTTAGCCCATTCACAGATTGTCACACATATGCAACCATTTACAAGCTTTGTTAACAATTTTTGAAAATATCATGCAAATTTTAAGAAGTTGTTGTCACATTTTCAAAATTCCCATGGGAGGTTTTTCCTGATGGAGATAACTTATAGAATCAGATGTATCAAAGTGGTACTGCCATATTCTCCTTCCATATCCCAGGACTCTTTTAAGGATAATGGTATAACAATTTTTTACAATGGCAAACCTTATATTGATCTCACCAGTGTAAAGAGGAAATCTCTGCTGGGTTCAGCAGAAATGGTACTACTTAGACAACAATATTTAGGTAGATCTTTAGCACAACCTATGCTGCTATACTTGCAAAGCAAGTGCATTCGATCCTAAAGGGGTTGCTATATGGTATTAGTAGTATAAATGTGTCAGCAATGCAAATAATGAATGTCCAAAGCTATGAAATGATGTTCAAGGGTACTTATCCGATGTCCGAAGCCAAAGTGCGATGTCCGAGATTTCAGACTTTTGAACTTCACAATAATAGGTTGGAAACTGTATAACGAGTGTCGAGTGGTATGCACGAGTATAACAAGTGATGGAGCATGATGGTGAATGAATAGTAATATTTCACAATGCAACTAAGAACTACAAAAATATTCTGGGTGATCCACAGAGTCAGGAAACAGCCCCTAACTACTAGATGATAATTACTACAGGTCACTACAGAGTATTTAAGTAAGTATGTAGAAATTCAGAATACTATATGCGAAGATAGTAGTGATATTTCAGATCTGAGAATCTATGTAATAAAACATGAGGTGCTGTGGACATGTAATAACGTGGTCTGAATGTCAGAAAATGTAAAAACAAGTAACTACGCACCTAGTGGGGCTAGTTCAGAAGGACAGGACATGGGATGGACAAGTGCGTGCAAAGTGCGATCGGCCGATGCAATGTCTAAAGGTCTGATGCGGAGTGGCTCGGACATGTGTGAAGTGTGTTGGACATGTGCGCATATGTTTTGGATGTTGACACAAGTATTGAAAATAGTGGTTCTGAGCCTAGCACCACAACCATCGTTACAGCGGCCTGCCTCTGTCCATCCTTTTTTGGATGCAATGATTTATCAGCTTTGTTAAGTTTATCTCCTCTGAAATGATTGTCTTCCAGAGCATACTTTGCTATGCACTTATGCTCTTGAGTTGTATGATTGAGCTATACTCTATCCCAAGGGCTTACAGGACCCATGGTGACAAGCAGATTTATACTATGTCAGTCATGTCACACCACTTTGATGTCTAAATCTCTGTGACAGCCCATTAACTCTTGGGCTAATTTTCAGTATTATGGGCATGAGAGGCTTCCATTAATGATTTGTCGTGCTTTTGCAGAAGCCTCTGTTTTCAATTTGATGTTGATTTCCTAAGCATGAGCTTCTCAGATTATGCTTACAAATCATCATTTGGTTTGCATTGGACTGCAGAGGAAACTTCTCAATCATACACTAGGCACCATTCCCAGTGATGATCTTGCTTTTGGCACTCTGACATATCTTTGTCAGCTAATGGAAGTGAATAGGAAATTACCAGTGTTTGTTTTGAGTAGATGATTCACAGAATTAATGGGTTGGCACATGACCATGCAAGCAAGGTGATACAGAATAAAACATAGCCACTTCATATCTAATTCACTTTAAAAACACTTCTCATTGGCTGGAGCTTCAAGACATATTTATTACACTTCAGTTCATTTCACCTCGACCCATCAAACCTAGAATGAACTGGTAACACTTAACTATGGGAAAAATTCCAGATAAGGTAGTGTTACTTAGTGTCTGTTGTGACATTTGGGCAGTTTTGGTGATGTAAGAGGATCAACACACAGCAGCAATCACCATATACTCCTACTCTGCAATTGCATGCCTCCTTGTCTTGTCACAGAATGGAAAGTAAAACTAATACTAAGACAATTCTAGAGCTATGGTGTCTCTGAGCTGATCATTTACTAGGGGAAGGAAGCTTCATACTATGCTCATGCTGTCCTCCATTATTCTATGTCTGACGTTTTCTCAGGGACAGGTGTACCAGGCCACTCAAATAGTCACCAGTCAAATTATGGCTGTCAAGAAGTCCTGAGCACCTCTTGCACTGAAATCACTTGGATCACGAGTGACAGGCTCTACAGCATCTGCAGGGGCACCTCTCCATCCCAAAAGTCTTTGCCTATGGACAATTGAAGCATTTCAAGTATCTTGCTATGCAGCTCCTTAGGATGAGCTTTGATGAAGTGCGGGAACACCATCCTCTATCAGCAGTAAACACCTTGGTGGTTGCTGACCAGATGGTATGTAGCATAAGCAATCTCTGGCCCATTAGTAGGCTCATTGTGACCTTGTGTCAGATCTCAGCTCTCAAACACATATACAAGAAAAAACTTATCCACTGCAATCTAAAACCCAGGAACATTATCCTTCACTCCCACCAATTCCAAGCACTTATACCTCGATAACTATGGGCTCACCCAGGCTATTACACATGATGAAGATGAGGAATCTAAATTGTGGTGAAAGTTGGTGCTAAGCTAAGCAAACACAGATAGTCCTGGGCACAAGTGAAATCATTGTCCCAAGGGCAGCTAACTGAGTAAAAGGAAACCTCTCTTATAAAAGAGGGATACCAAACTACTAATAGAGTAATAAGACTAATAGACGCGCAAAGTGCAAGGTGAGAGCAATGAAATATATGATGGATGGATGCACAAGTGTGAAAGATGAAGGGTGAGGTGTGTGACGCGAAGGTAGCACGCGCTGTCCTGCATGATGTGGGAATCATGCATGGACATGAATACTAGGTGACCCTCAAAAGATAAAGTCTGTTAGCTTAGTCCTCAGACTAGTCAACCCATACCTTGGTTTCAAACCATGGTCCATATTTCCAGTTTTCCCCAAGTTTTATGATCTGAATATGTTTTGACGGAAAAAGTCTAATGTGAGATGGGAATCACATTTAGACCTAGTTGATGTGAGAAGGGAAATGAAGGTTAAAGTATAGCCTTGCCTTTGGCTTATTCACTTTGGCTAGAGAAAACCATAGAGAAAAGTACAAAGCCTATAAAAAACCTATCCAAAAAGACCGTGTTATCTGCAACTGTATTATTTGACTGCATTCAATTCCTGCCAACTGCATTATTTTTTTTGACTGTGTTTCAATTCCTGCCAACTGTCTTATTTTTGCTACCTACTTTTCTCTAGTGTTTCTTTACTTTACTTTTTCATTAGGATGCTTTGACTCACCTGACACTTCATAAAATTGTACCCATAGGGTATGATGTCATTATGATGTCATAAGACTCCACAGATACTCCTGCAGGTATTCTGTTGAAAGATATTATGTCATCAAGCTCTAGATTATTCTACTCTACAATGACATCATTCATGATGTCATTTCCTTCTAGAATATTCTGCTCCACAATGACTCACTCTGACTCACTCATGGAAGGTTCTGGAATCTTTTGCTCCACAATGATGTCATAGCTCCATCTTTCACTTGTATTTTATTCTTTTATTGGGTTTGACCCAATATTTTGATTGGTCCTCCTTATTTTTTATTGTTTGTGAACCTAGGTTACTTTCCCACACAAAATGTATATAAGGAGAGCCCATTCTCCCCCAAAAAAATATGATCTCCCATTTGTAGCTATCTGCCTATCAGATATTTCACTTGCAAAGTTAGTCCCTTTGAAGTGAGACAAGTGCAGGGAAAAGAATTCCCTTGAGATTATAAGTTTCTTACCTTAGAAACTTATTTAGTGCTATAGACCAAGCATTCTTGGTCATATATATTGTCTTTGAGACCCCTTTGTCTCATTGCTCTGTGCCCTTTGACTAAGCGATCTTAGTCATCTATCATATTGTTGAGACCACGTCTCACTAGTTCTCCCATAGACCAAGCGATCTTGGTCAAGTTATAGTCCCCTTTGTTCAAGCGATCTTGAACATATATTGTATATTTGAGACCATTGTCTCACAGTCAGGTGTCCATAGACCAAGCGATCTTGGTCACATTTCGTATATTTGAGACCATATCTCACTAGTTCCAGTATCCAAGTCCAGAGCCTAGAAGGAGATTTCCTAGGCAAATACATTCCAGAAACCGAATTACGTGTCTAGAAGCTTATTCCTAGACAAGAGATTTGAGTTTCAATAAAGAAAAGTAAAGCTCCGGCTAGGTTGATCTTGACAAAGATTAGTTTAGCGAGCCTCCCAAGAACTCACACGTTATCTACCACGAA